AACTCACGTTTCAACAGTTGAGTTGGTGATGCCATTCAGCTGTCTCAAATAAAACGGCACATGGTGTGCGTAAATGTTGAAGAGACCGATAAACTGGACGGATTAGAGTAGGTTGGGATCAGTCAGTCAGAGGCGTCTTCCTTCAGTAGGCTTTGAACAGAGTCAGCTGAGGAGGAATGGAGCACACGAAGGTGAACCAGCAAAAGAACAAGCTGGGAGGCAGGGTCTCAGCCCTGTGTGACCTTCCACTTTAAAATGGGCAGCCTGGTTAGCTAGAGACAGAAAAGACTACACAGACCACATTCTTCAAAGGGCCATGGTTTTGCTCTGGGGTCAAGTCTTAGGTTGTAAGCCTTTTTCTTTTCTCTTTCTGTCATCCACGCCCCCCGCCCCACCCTCACCCCCCGCCCCAGGACTTGGACGGAAACACAAAAAATTCTCTGGGTTGGAATCTCTCTTTGATATTGATTCTGCTCTAAGGGGGAATTGTTACTTACATTTCATTATGTGTGCTCCTAGATTTGGTAAATTTGATGGAACACTTGAACCATTTCTGAATTAAGCAATTTTGTAAATAGGTATTTTTTCAGTATATAGATCATGTACAGGCAGTTGAATGCTGAAAGCTTTTCTTCTCTCCTTTTTCCTTCCCTTTATTTTCAGCTCTCACTGAGTAAGGGCCCTCTAAATTGAGGTTGGGAGAGAAAAATACATTAAAAATTCTTTCTGAATATTCACTGCACCTAATTTTGCAATCAGAAATGCCTCTTTGGGGACTTCCCCATCATTCCAGTGGTTAAGACTCCATGCCTCCAATGCAGGGTGCAAGTTGGATCCCTGGTCAGGGAACTAAGATCTCGCATGCCTAGGGGAGCAATCAAAAATGAGAGAGGGAAAAAAGGAGACTATTTTGGGGTTTTCAGCTGTGTGACATTTTGGGACAAATAATAGGATTTGCTGTGTTTCACTGTAAACAGTGTTGAGACCACACTGAGCGCGGTAGCACCCTGAGGGTTACAGTCCGTGAACGGTTTTCGTGTTATGACAGATGGGCCTTCCATTTAGGCAAAACCTGGAGCACGTGGGATGCGTTTTTGCAGGAATGAGCCTTGGGGAGCAGAGTGATTTTTGAGTTGTTTACATTGAGGAAGGAGATGTGAAGTTAAAAGATGGTTAATGGTTCTCAACAATTTAAATTTTTTGTCAGAAGTAATACATGTACACACAGATTAAAAAAAGAAACAGTATTTTTCAGTCCTCATCCCTGTAGGCAGTTAATTTCAACTCTTTGATGTGTTCTTCTGTTGTTAACTGTCTCATTGCCGAATAATACACTTAGGCTGCTAAATTTGGAGATCTTCATTTTAGAAATCACCTTCTGGGTGTCTGTCCTCGTAGGGATTGTGAGCCTGGGCTGTGGAGGCAGAAGGTCAGGGTTGTCGTCCACCCTCGACCTTTCTCTCCCGTCTTGTTCTTGAGCAGCGTACTAAAACCTTCTCTGTCCCATAAGTGAAACAGGAATAATAATAATAATAATGCCCCGCAGGCCTGCCCTTAACGTTGCAGGGCCTGGGGCAGAGACCGCAAATGGAGCCCAGACGGCTAAATATTTAAAAGGCCTCATGAAATATTCAGGAGAGATATTTAAATATTTAAAAGGTATATACCATATGCCTAAATATTTAAAAGGTTTTAAGTCAGGCCGCAGCTCGGGCCTGGCCCCTTCTTCACCCCGGGCCTGGGAGCCCGTTCCGCCGGTCTCGCCCTCAAGACCGGGGGTCTGGAGGCACCCTGACCCTTGGAGGGCCCCTTGAGCCGAGTGATGCCAGGAGGGCGAGGGCCCCCTCCTGGGCTCCGGCCCGGCCGCTCGCCAGCTGGGGCTGTGCCTCCTCCCGGGGACCAGCCGGCCTGTGGGTGGACTCCCCCAACGGGGTCGTTGTTGGGAGCTTTTTTTTTTTTATTTGACTTAAGCCTTTCCAGGCAGTTGTGAGCTCCTCCCCAAAGCTGCACCTTCTGTGCTGGGGTGGGGGGCGTAGGGGGTGGCAGGGGCAGGCTCACCCGCCCCACACCCGCCCCATCTGTCTCCCTCCCGTAATTCCCGCTCCTCTCTGGGATGTTTGCAAAGTTAAAAAAAAAAAAAAGCACCACAGAAAGAAAACTTTCCTATGAGACTGAAAAGGAAAAAGAGAAGCTCCCTGCGCTCAGACACACGCGTCTTGTAACACGCAGGTCCGCAGGCTCGGTGCCCGGCGCCCCACCGGCGGGCGTGGGGATTCAGGGGCCAAAGTGCCCACTACTGCCCGGGGCCCAGGGACTCCCACGCTGTGGTTGGTCTTAAATTTGGAGCGTTCTGTCAGTTGGCTGGGGTGCGGGCGTTTTTTCCCTAGGAGGTGCTGGGCTGTCAGAGGGTAGAAGCTTGCCCGATTTAGCAAAAAAGAAGAAAAAAGCCCCGATAAACAATGGAACACACTTCTAGGAGAAGATTGGTCCTCATTTACTTGAAATCGAGATGTATCTGGCAGCTCTGTGAGGACCTTCAGTCTGAGATTTGGCTCCTTCAATCTTGGGAGCTATTCCTATATTTTTTCTTCAATAATAGTGTCTCTGTGTTTTCTCTTTCTGAAACACTCTTATGAGATGCTGGATCAACTGGATTGAGCTTTGAATTTTAGTGCCTTTTCTCTCCTATTGTCCAGATCTCTTTTCTAGTTCTGCTTTTTGGGAGACACCCTGATTTCTCCGACTCTTTTTTTTTTTTTAAACCTGTTTTGTCTTTTATTTCCATTATTAATATTTCTTCTTTCTAAACATTTCTTCTTTTCCTTTGGGGGCTGCATCTCTGTAACTTCCTGTTTTTCTCGGAGGATGGTGTTTGTGTCCATAGATGGGATCTTCCATTCGCTGAGGCTTTTCTGTCGTCATCTTGCTCTTCTGTTTGTTCACTGTGGTCTTTCTCAGGGGGGAGGCTTTTGCACAGGTCTGCTGACGGTTGAGGATGGGGTGTGTGGCCAGCTGATTGGAGGCTGTGCCCGCACAGACCTGTCCTCGTCCTCCGCTTCTTTGTGTCAGTGCTGGAGCTGGACTCCACGGACCAGTCTCACAAGTGTCGTGTCCAACTCTTTGTGGCCCCATGGACTGCAGCCCACCAGGCTCCTCTTTTCATGGGATTCTCTAGGCAACAGTACTGGAGAGGGTTGTCAGGCCCTCCTCCAGGGGAATCTTCCTGACCCAGGGATGGAGCCGAGGACTCCTGCATCACAGGCGGATTCTTTACCGTCCACACCACCAGGGAAGCCCGCACCACGGTGGAGATGCTGAACCTTGAGCCCCTGTGGCTCTGGTTAACCCAGAGAGTGTTCCTCTTGTCCTCCTCAGCTGCCCCAGCTGGCAGAGCATTAGCTTCAGCAAGGGCACTGAGTGTGGACTTCACCCCCTGGCTTTTTCCAGCACTGCCCCTTCCTTCCATGGCTGGTGTCTCCTCTGCTGATTCCAGGCCTGAGCTTTGACGTTCCCTGGGGCTGACTGTCCGCCTTCTCCATGGCCCCGTCCTGCAAGGCCGTGGAGTATAACCTCCTGACCACTGCCCTTTTCCTTCTCTTGATCCTGCTTGTGTCTCTCGTGGATGTCCGCGCCGTTCTCGTGGCCCTCTCCTTGGGTGTCTAATACATGTCTTTGGTAACAACCTGCTTGGGACACAGTTCACATGCTGTACAGTTCACCCATTAGTAGCATACCATTCGGTGGTTTTTGGTCTTTTCCCAAGAGCTGTGTAACCATCTCCACAGTCAGTTGTAGGACCTTTCCATCCCCTGAAAAAAGCCCTGTCTGTTGGTGGCAATGTAAATTGGTGCAGCTGCTATGGAACACAGCATGGTGGTTCCTTAAAAAACTAAAAACAGTTACCATGTCATCCAACAGTCCCACTCCTGGGCATGTATCTGCAGAAAACTAATTCAAAAAGATACACCCACCGCAGTGTTTGCAGCAGCATTATTTATAACAGTGAGGGCATGGAAGCACCCTAAATGTCCACTGACAGATGAACGGGTGAAGAAGATGACTGTCACTCAGCAATGAAAAAGAACAAAACAGCGCCACTCGCAGCACCATGGATGGACCTAGGGCTGATCATGCTGAGGGAAGCTAAGCCAGAGAGACAGACACCCTGTGATATCCCTTCCGTGTAGAACCTCAAGTACGACACAGATGGACTTATTTACCAGACAGAAACAGACTCACAGACATAGGAAACAAGCTTGTGGTTATCAAGAGAGAAGGCGGGGGAAGGAATAAATTAAGTGTTTGGGATCAGCAGATGCAAACTGCTGTATAAGAAGAAACGAACAGCAAGGTCAGTAACCTGTAATGAAAAAGAATACACATACACATACATATGTAGACTGAAGCATTTTGCCGGAAAGCAGGAAGTAACACAGCGTTGTAAATGAACTAACAACTATTATTATACTAATAACACAACTGTTACAACTGTTACCTAGCACAACATTTTAAATTAACTAAGTAAAATAAAATGGAGTAGGGGAAAAAGCGCCTTTTATCTGTCACTCCCTAGTTCTCCCAGGCCTAAGCCACCACAAATCTACTTTTTTGTCTTCATACGTTTGCTATTTTTATCTTTTTAAAAATACTTTTAATGTCATCTTTGTAGGAGTTCTGGAGGCCAAGGGAAAGAAACCCATGAATTCAGTCAACATTCTTCCTTGGGAAGTTCTTGCCATGCATAAAACATTAGACTATAAAAACATGCTGCCCGTTTCTCTACTTCTGCGTTCTGAGGACTGACTGAAGTACCGTTTGACAGACGGGGGAAGTTCCTTCTATTTTCTGCCTTTCCCCCGCCCTTTTTGTTTTTAAACCCCCTCTGCTGACCAAACCTCGGGTCTCTTGGAAGCTGCCGCCGTCGGCAGGCCCGGAGGAGCGGCCTCCGTGCCCCTAGGCTTCTGGAGCCCTCCCGCCTCTGCAGAGCAGTGGTGGGGTCGTTACCTGCAGCTGGAAGGGCGGCCTCCGAGCCCAGGCCCCGGTGCCCGAGCGGCGCTCACCCTCCTGCGCCCACCGTCCGCCAGCGCTCGCTCCTGGGCGGCTGTGGAGAGCGGACTTGGACGCGGCCTCTGAGGTGGAGAGCGGCCCGCCGACCTCCGGAAACGCTGACGGGCGTGAGGTCCCGGGCGCGCGCGCCTCCGGGGTGGGCCGCGGCGCCGCCGCCCGGGGGCCCGTCCGCCGCCCGGGGGCCCGTCCGCCGCCCGGGGGCCCGTCCGCCGCCCGGGGGCCCGTCCGCCGCCCGGGGGCCCGTCCGCCGCCCGGGGGCCCGTCCGCCTGTCTCCTGGACCCCCCAGGGGCCTTCGGAAGGCTCCGCGCCGCCCTCCCGCTTTGCCCGAAGAAGGGGAGCTCCGCGCTCTCGAGCGCGAGGTGCCTGCGAGCGGCTGCGTCTGCCGCGTGCGGATGCGCGGCTCACTCTCGCTTTGGCCGTTCTCCAAGCCCGGGCTCTCCCGCTGCTTCTCCCTCGCTTCCGTCGGGGTCCTGGCTGGGGCTGTGGGTTTAGGGCTCGGCGCCGCCTCGAGGATGGGGGCTCCGGCGCGGGGCATGGTGCTGGCCTCCCGCGGGGCCCTCGTCCGCCCGGGTGGTGGTGCGGCCGCCCGCGCGGGCCCTCAGCCCTCTGCGGGCCTGGTCTGAGCCGGGGCCCTGCGAACTGCCAGTCGGCGTGTGAACGCTCCAGAGCCGTGGCTGGGCCGGGGTCCGGCCGGGAGCGCGTGAGGGTGCAGCTTGGTGCTGCTTAGTCACGCAGCCGTGTCCGACTCTCTGTGGCCCCTCGGGCTGTAGCCCGCCAGGCTCCTCTGTCCATGGGATTCTCCAGGCAAGAGCACTGGAGTGGGCTGCCATGCCCTTCTCCAGGGGATCTTCCCGACCCAGGGATCGAACCCGTGTCTCCTGCACTGCAGGGGGATTCCTTGCTGCTGAGCCACTGGAGACCGCAGCTAGTCCGTGGTTATTCTGACCAGGAGGCCAGAGCCTCAGAGTTTCAGGACTCAGAGGAGAGTCAGAGACATTGAGGTATTTCGCTTTGTGAGCTGAAAGCTTGCTGCGCTTTAGGAGGCAACTGCATTCTTTGCGGTGTATGAACTCCAAGTGACCCACCAATGGCTGATCCCTAGAGCAGGACTTGAAGGCACATGTATTCCAGGAAAGGGGCCAACATTTTGAAATGAAGTGAGATGTAGTAAGTAGCCGGGGCCTTCGCTCTGCACGGTGCCCAGGAATGTCCCCTTCCTCCTTTTCCTCCAAACCATCATCACCTCAGAACTGCTTAACTTTTTTGTCTGAAGACCGTTTCTACGTTTTTCCTTTTTTTCCCTCCTTACTTTGTCGTCTTATTCTAACAAATAGACAAAGAGAAGAAGAAAATACCATTAATGCCTGTGTGTTTGGTACTTTTTTCATACATATTGTTTACTATGGTAGTCTTATGATTTGGCAATTATTATTGGCTCTCATTTTAAAGATGAAATTGAGGCTCTTCTTTCAGAAGAATCTGAGGAATGGGTTCTTCATCTTTGGCTAATGGAGGGGTGTGTGTGTGTGTGTGTGTGTGTGAGAGAGACAGAGAGAGAGAGAGAGAGATTCTGGGTTAAGAACTAGCATGACCCTAGGAGGAAAGGTGTGTGTGTATGTGTGTGTGTGTCTGTCTGTCTGTCTGTCTCCCCACCCCATACTTGCAGACCTGCAGGAGAAGAGTGGTTGGGCTTTGACTGGGTCGGGTCTTTGGTGTCAGACCAAGGAATTTGGACTTAATGTGGAAGGTGACGTGAGGATTTTTAATAGAGGGAAGCGATACATATGATTATGCGGGAGACTCGGGGTTTGATCCCTGGGTCAGGAAGGGATCCACCTGCATTGCAGGCAGATTCTTCACCAGTTGAGCCACCAGGGAATGTTGTTTGAGAAAGATTAATCTGGCAGTTCTGAACCAGAGCGTGGAAAGCAGCGTGTTGTTTTTTTCTGGGTATAAGACGGGGTGACCGAGAGAGAGGGGTGACAGAGATCATGACGGGGGTGTAACGTCGCTGAGGGGGACGATGCAGGATTTGGTAAGAGAGAAGAATCTTCACATAAAGATGAAGCATGTATGTTTGAGAGTGTAAATTTTATGATACGTGTATTTTATCAGAATAAAAAAAATCAAGTGTGTACCTTGCTTTGTTTTCCTGTCTGCGGCTTGTTAATTACATTGGATTGGTGATATGTATAGATTTCAGTATTTGGTTAGGAAATTATACAGCATATAGCATTTAAAGGGAAAGAGTAGTTCTCATTTTAGCTGTTATCTTTTGGAATGGCAAAACACAGTTACATTGTTACTGCAGAAAGAAGGAAAGGCCAGCCTTATTAGAAGATACCTGAAGGATGGCAAGACGGGTAAGCGGTTCATTTCTTTCCGTGTGACTCTGGACAACCAAATCACTAGGAGGAACTTATTTCTACAGAATTTCTTTTCTTTTTTTTTGGCTGTACCACAGGATACGCGGGATCTTAGTTCTCTGACCAGGGTGGAAACGCGAAGTCTTGACCCTTGGATTGCGAGGAAATTCCACATATAGGCTGCTGTTTTATGTGGTATCCTTTCAGTAATCTAGTGGTTCCGACACACACCTCAGACATAAACCAGATAAATCGCTGATTGTCTCCAGCCTCATGCTGTCTGTGGTAGCAAATGATCATCTCCATGATTTGTGTGCAAGGAAGCATGGAGAATGCAAACTTGCGGAAATTCTAATAAACTCAGGTTTAAAAGTCACTAAGCCTCTTGATTACTCAGTGGCCGACCTTGAGGCAGCTTATCGGTAAGAGGATAAAACGGAAAACTAATCTCTGCATATGCAGAGCTGTTATTTAAACACTTTAGGAATGATTTCTTGTTTGTAATGCCATTTGCCGGCATTCTTTTGGAAGTAAAAAGATAGAAGTACCATCTTCTCGTCTCAGCTCTCCTCTCTGCATTTTAATACTCTCCCACTCTTGCCACTATCTATTTATTATCTCTGTCTTTAAAAAAAAAAAAGTCCAAAAAACTCAAGTCCATGCTTTATTTAGATTTCCTCAGCTTTTACCCAGTGTCTCTTCTGTCCCAGGAGCCCATCCAGGGGATCACATTGCGTTTAGTCATCCTGTCTCCTTAGACGCCTCTTGGTGTGACTTCCCTTATGTTTTATGACCTTGACAGTTTGGAACGGAGCTGCCTAGGTATTTTCTAGAAGGTCCCTCAGATAGGATTTGTTGGATGCGTTTCCTGTAGTTAGGCTGGCGTCACGTGTTTCTGGGATAACCTGGGGTTCTGTCACATCACAGGTACTTTTCCTTTTTTAAAAAAACTTTTGTATTGGGGTAAAGAATCTGCCTGCAATGCAGGAGACCTGGGTTCGATCTCTGGGTTGGGAAGATCCCCTGGAGAAGGGAAAGGCTACCCACTCCAGTGTTCTGGCTTGGAGAATCCCATGGACTGTATCGCCCATGGGGTTGCAAAGAGTTGGACACGACTGAGTGACTTTCCTTCATTCATTCATAGCCAGTTAACAAGCAGTGTTGCCATAGTCTCAGGTGAACAAGAGACTCAGCCCTACACACACATGTCCCTGTCCTCCCCCAGACCCCGCTCCCATCCAGGCTGCAAGGGGACGCACTTTTCACACGACTTATCACTGTTGACAGTGACCTCGGTCACCTGGCCCAGAGTGTGTGTGAGGCTTTTGCACTGAGGAGTTCCTCTTTTCCTCTCCCCTTTGTATACTGTCCTTTCTGGAGGAGAGTTGTTGAATGACTGGGACACCTCCGTCAGGGGAGGGCATCTACATAAGTTAATTTCATTTCTTCTGCACAGGAGGTCTGTCTGCTTTTCTCCATTTATTCAATTATTCGCATCACTTATGCCACTGATCAGCGTATTTTGTATTTCAGGTTTTAATCCAGTATTGCTTCACTTGATGCTCAAATTGTACCAGCGTGGGCCATTGGGGGCTCTTTAGGTTCACCTCTGTTTCCCTTTAAAATAACCCTCTCAGTGCAGTTTATTTCCCTTCTTTCTGTCTCGTTTGGAGCACTTCCTTAATTTCTGGCACTGCTGAATGCTCCAGGCCTATCTTGTGTGTTTCCTGCCCGACGCTGGAATCGGCACTTCTCCCAGAAGCGCTGGTCCCTTCCAGCGGAGCCCAGCGTCAGGAACCCTGATCTCGGGGCCGCCCGCCCTCACTCACCCTGGTCTCGGGGCCACCCGCCCTGACTTTGGTCTTCCCCAGGCATCCGCCCCAGTGCTGGATTCACTTCACAGGCCACATGTCTTCTTTTTCATCAAACCTTTCATACCCTTGCCCAGACCCAGTTTTTATAGCTGTCAGATTTTTAGACTGCATCAGGAGGAAATTGCTCCTTGGATGAGCAATCAAGCTGCTCTTATATATTTATTTTTTCAGCGTGTTTTCTTTTCTAGTATCAACACTGCATAGGAATCTGGCTGCACATTTAGACTGAATTTGGTTGGTGATACACTTGGTCTGTGATTTGTGTCTTTTATTACAGTGTTTAAAAGGATTTTACAGATTCATGAACCTTAGGGAGACAGTTAAAAACCTATTAAAATTAAAATTTGAGCATTTGGTTTTATCAAGGCAAAATAAGCAGATGAAATAAAATGGACCTGGGAGCTTGAGGTTTGCATTTATCATTCCCAATTTAAGGTGCAGCTTAGAGGGTGGAGAATGCCAGGGGTAGCAGATAGTTAGTGAGAAGTTAATTAAACTGTAGGCAACTGGAGCAATATAAAATTCATATCCTCCAGATATGATTTCTTCTCTATATTTGTCCTTCGTGGGAAACCCTGTCCGGGAACCTGTCTGAGCCCATGTCTTTCTTTGAAGCGTGCAGGGACCAGACGCTGAAACAAAGACTCCTCTTTACTCCTTGTCTCAAAACAGGTGGAGACAGACATTGTTTTCTGTTCCCCACATGGCATTAGTTGTTAATCACTATTTTATTTTGCTCTACTGACTTGAGACTCAGAACGTAGCTTGATAAAATCCTTGGGTCTCCTGTGGGGTGCCTTCCTCTCGAGTGTCCTGAGGGTCTGGAGAACACAGGTGTCACACCAGCCCCGCATCCACCTTCCTCAGGGCACAGAGCCGCGGGTCATTTCAGGTGTGCCTGCCAGGCTTGCTGCTGCTTGGGGGGAGCGCCGCCCCCGGGGAGTGTTGGTCCAGAGCGTGGCTGAGGTTCTGGGGGAACTCCGCCTCCAGGGAGTGTTGGTCCAGAGCGTGGCTGAGGTTCGGGGGGAGCTTCGTCCCTGGGAAGCGTTGGTCCAGAGCGTGGCTGCAGTTTGGGGGGAGCTCTGCCCCCGGGAGCGTTGGTCCAGAGCGTGGCTGAGGTTCTGGGGGAGCTCTGCCCCTGGGAGCGTTGGTCCAGAGTGTGGCTGAGGTTCGGGGGCAGCTTCGTCCCTGGGGAGCGTTGGTCCAGAGTGTGGCTGAGGTTCGGGGGCAGCTTCGTCCCTGGGGAGCGTTGGTCCAGAGTGTGGCTGAGGTTCGAGGGGAGCTTCGTCCCTGGGGAGCGTTGGTCCAGAGCGTGGCTGAGATTTGGGGGGAGCTCCACCCCCCGGGAGCGTTGGTCCAGAGTGTGGCTGAGGTTTCGGGGGGAGCTCCGCCTCCGGGGAGCGTTGGTCCAAAGTGTGGCTGAGGTTTGGGGGCAGCTTCGTCCCTGGGGAGCGTTGGTCCAGAGTGTGGCTGAGGTTCGGGGGGAGCGCCGCCCCCGGGGAGCGTTGGTCCAGAGCGCGGCTGAGGTTCGGAGGGAGCTTCGCCTCCGGGGAGCGTTGGTCCAGAGTGTGGCTGAGGTTCGGGGGGAGCTCCGCCTCCGGGGAGCATTGGTCCAGAGCGTGGCTGAGGTTCGGGGGGAGCTCCACCCCCCGGGGAGCGTTGCTCCAAAGTGTGGCTGAGGTTCGGGGGGAGCTCCACCCCCAGGGGAGCGTTGGCCCAGAGCGTGGCTGAGGTTCGGGGGGAGCTTTGCCCCTGGGGAGCGTTGGTCCAGAGTGTGGCTGAGGTTCGGGGGCTGCAGAATTCAGGCGGGCTTGGGGGAGGGTGGTGCCCGCCCGCTGCTCTGGGCATCTCTTCGCCCCCCTCTCTGGTTCTCAGCGGCTGGGCCATTGGTGCCTTGGCCTCTTACAATTGCAAACCCAGATGCGGCTCACACTTCAGCCCATGGGTTCTGTGCTGAATGTGTGATTTCTGACCCTGAGCCCCGTGGTAGCAGCCCCCCTGCTGAGAGGGCTGCCCCCCACCCCTTCCTCTCCTGCTCAGACTAGACGCTCTGCGGTGAGTCCTCCTCAGCCGCACAGGTCTCCTGGCTCTGCCTGCAGGTCTCTGGGCCAGTCGTGGGATGAAGAGGGGAGGAACGCTTGTTGCAAATCTCCGAGCCCCTGTCCCCTGTGTTTGAGTGTTACGCTTTTTGTGTGGTGTAAGATTGAAGGCAAAAGGAGAAGGGGGCGGCAGAGGATGAGATGCTCAGATGGCCTCACCTGCTCAACGGACGTGAGTTTGAGTAGACTCCAGGAGATGCTGAAGGACTGGGAAGCCTGCTGTGCTGCAGTCCATGGGGTCGCAGAGGGTCGGCCACGAGAGTGACACGGCAGCAACAACCACACATGGTCTGGCAGGGCTCCCTCTAGACCCGGTAGCAGCCACCCCTCCCCACAGCCCTGGGGCGGCGGGGGTATGCTGTCATCTCCACTTCTGGTGGAAAACCTTCCAACCCAAAGACGCTGAGAGCATAGGGAATGTCGGTGCGGAGACATTCAAGCTCATTCTCTTCACGAGGGTATCTGTCCCCAGAAACCGATTTATTTTAGGGAACTGTATGGATGAGTTTTGTACGCTCCTGCTTATTAGTGACATGACAAGAATGTGGGTCAGTAAGTAGATCCCCTGGAGCTGCAGAGAGAAATAAATAGGAAATTCATCATCCCCCTCCTTTGCATTCATTCATCACTCAGAGAACAACTTTTATAGCCAGTAAGTAAGCCGTATGAGGAAAAGAACTTTCTAATAATGTAGACGTTGTATTAGAAGTCATCTTTTTTGTTGACTGGACATTAGCTCATAAATATTTATAAAGCTGGAGGGGGCAGGGTGGGCTTAACTCGAATGCGTGATGGCAGGTACAGAATTGGTGGAGTCATTTGGGAAATAATTTAGGCGTTTGTGTTTGCGGACCGGAAAAAATGACCTGTGGCTAGATCAGAATTTGGGAGCTGTAACATCCCTCTCTTTGGAGAGTTACAGTATTTACTAGCAGAATGGAGGCTGTCCTGTAGAAAGAAATCTGTTCACCATAGAAAAATCCAGCTCTTTTAAACAGAATTCTTCCTGGAGGAGAGTTGTATTACGGTGTTGTGTTCCTTTTTTTGCTGTGCAGCAAAGTGAGTGAGTTACACGTATGTCAGAGTTGGTGTATTTCAGTGTTGCGTGTGTGAAAAAGCCTAACAAGGTCCTTCAGAGCTGGTGTCTGTTTCACAGCACGTGAAGTGCGGCCTGTGAACCACCTGTAATATGGTTAGTTCTGTGTTACACTTGGTCTCTCTCTTTGGGGTCTCTCCTCATTCCTGGTACCTTTAATTTTTATTTACACATGGTAAAATTCTCTGGGTTTGACAAAGGTGTAGACATGTATGTCCACCCCCACAGTTGAGATACAGAGCCGTTCCATCACCCCCCAGGTCTCCTCCTATAGCCTGGATTTTTAGCAGTGGTTTCAGGCGAGTGGAAAGGGTTGGGTAAGGAGCTGGGCGGAACTGGATTTTTCCAGCAACGGAGAATTTGGCTGTGAAGGCAGCGTCCCCGCGGCCAGGGCACGAGGGTCGGGGTGCCAGATCGAGGTTGGGGGACGTTTATTCAGCTGGTGCTGTGTTAGTTGCTCAGTCGTGTTTGACTCTCTGTGACCCTGAGGACTGTAGCCGGCCAGGCTCCTCCATCTGTGGGATTCTGCAGGCAGAAATACTGGAGTGGGTCGCCCTTCCCTTCTCCAGGGCATCTTCCCCAACCAGGGATCGAACATGGGTCTCCCGCACTGCAGGCAGATTCTTTACCATCTGAGCCACCAGCTGGTAGGTAGAAGTAATAGAGGGCTTCCCTGGTGTTTTAGTGGTAAAGAATCCCCCTGCCAATGCAGGAGACACGGGTTCCACCCCTGGCCTGGGAAGATCCCCAGGAGAAGGAAATGGCAACCCACTCCAGTATTCAACAGCAGCGGTAACAACAGCAGGGGTTAACATAAGTGGCCTAAAGTCCTGGAGCCGGGCAGAAAGCTGGTGGTGAGGGCCGGCTTGGAAAGGCCAGCGGTTTGGGAGAGGGCAGGACCTGAAGGCAGGCGGCCCTGGGGAGGGGTCCTGCCTGTTGTCTGTGAAGCTGACCGTGGAGGGAAGAAGGAGGCGTGGAGTATGCCCCCAGGGAAGGTTAGAAGTGGCCTGTGTCCCCTGGCAGGGTAGGAGTTAATGACGCGGGAAAGAGAGGGCTGTGGAGTGACACCGAGGAGCACTCTGTGGGGAGAGCGGCAGGGATCTGCGGCAGTGCTCCCCGAGCGAGTGCAGTCCTCCTTGGAGTGAGCGTGGTCCTGCCCCTAGCGGGCGCAGTCCTCCCCGGAGCACGGTCCTCCGCAGAGCGGGCGAGGTCTTACCCCGAGCGGGCACGGTCCTCCCCAGAGCGTGGTCCTCCCGGGAGCGGGCGAGGTCCTACCCCGAGCGGGCATGGTCCTCCCCAGAGCGCAGTCCTCCCCGGAGCGGGTGAGGTCCCACCCCGAGCGGGTACGGTCCTCCCAGGAGCGGGTGCGATCCTCCCCCCCTGCAGGCGCAGTCCTCCCCGAGCGGGTGAGGTCCTCCCCGGAGCGATCCTCCCTGCCCGAGCAGGCGTGGTCCTCCCCCCCCCCCCAGCAGGCGCGGTCCTCCCCCCAGCAGGCGCTGTCCTCCCCCCCAGCAGGCGCGGTCCTCCCCTGAGCGGGCGCGGTCCTCCCGGGAGCGGGCGCGGTCCCCCCCGGAGCGCAGTCCCCCGAGGTCCCCTATTAGCTGCAGAACCAGGTGTGAATGCAGGGCGGCTTCTTCCTGCAGAGCCCCCGTTTGACCCGTGAGAGCTTGGCGTTGGGGAGAGCAATGCCAGGAAGTAGGCCAGGAGTTGGCGAGAGGAGCTTCTGGAACAGGCTGAGGTTGGTGGGGACCGTTTGCCTCTGTTCCCGAGGGGCTGGAGAGGCAGGTGCTGGGAGGAGGGCAGGGGAGGGCCCGGTGGGCAGAGCCTGGAGGCGAAGTGAAGGACCACCTCGGGCCAGGGCGCGGTGGACTTACTCTTGTCTTTCCCAGAGTGTGGCAGGATCGAGTGACTCTGTTGGTATTTCCAGAAGCAGTTTGAACTTTCACATCTGTTGTTTTTCAAATCAGGAATATTAGGTACAGTGTTAAGAAGAAAAAACTGCCTCGGCCAGAGTATCCATATGTTATCATTGATACTGTTTGGGCTTCCCACGTGGCTCAGTGGTAAAGAATCTGCCTGCAATGCATGAGATGCAGGTTTGAACCCTGGGTCGGGAAGATCCCCTGGGGAAGGAAGTAGCTACCCATGCCAGTGTCCTTGCCTGGGGAAATCCCGTGGACAGAGGCGCCTGGCAGCCTGCAGTCCGTGGGAGTCCCCAGAGCATCGCACATGACCTAGAGACTAGACAGCAACGTTGATAGCATCAGGGTTCAGTGAAGCAAGAAGATACCTCTTCTGGATAACGGCAGCCCTATGAAGTAATTTCCTATTAACTTGTACAGAAATAAAATGTGTATCCTGTTCTTTTCACCACGTGTGTGAACTTTTGACACGTGGGGAGCTACCCTGGTGGAGGCTGATTAGAAAGTGAAGTTCTCCTGGTCTCAGCGGTGGCGTGCGGGGTTGAGGGTGGGACGCCCCCGCTGGAGGTGAGGGGGCTGGGTGCTCAGGGGTCTGGGGTTGCGCTTCCTCCCAGTGGCTGGAGAGAAGCCTTAGAGCTGCGTGGTGCCCTGACTAACTGTTCAGACCCACCCGGGGCCCGACGAGGGTGCAGTGACGGAGATAAAGGGAGCCCCTCCTGGACATTCTGGTGCTTGGGTGGGGCCTTCAAATGGCACGTACCTAAAAGATTCAGTAGCTCCATTTCTTGTTGCTTATGTGTTTCCTCCTCTAGGCTGTGCACACGTAGCCATCCGTGTGTGTGTCTGTGTGTGTCTTTAAGTCACTCCAGTCGTGTCCGACTCTCTGTGACCCCATGGACTGTAGCCCACCAGGCCCCTCTGTCCATGGGATTCTCCAGGCAAGAGCACTGGGGTGGGTTGCCACACCCTCCTCCAGGGGATCTTCCTGACCCAGGCTGAAACCCGCATCTGTTGTCTCCTGCACTGGCAGGCGGGCGTTTTGCCACGAGTGCCACCTGGGGTGTGTGTGTGTGTGTGAAGCCTGTGTGTGTGTGTGTGTGTGTGAGAGAAGCCACGTGTGTGTGTGTGCGCATGCGTGAGTGTGCGCCACCTGGGAAGCCTCTGTGTGTGTGTGTGAAGCACGTGTGTGTGTGAGAGAAGCTGTGTGTGTGTGTAGCCCGTGTGTGTGTGTGTGTGTGAAGCCCGTGTGTGTGTGAGAAGCCCGTGTGTGTGTGTGAGAAGCCGTGTGTGTGTGAGAGAGAAGCCGTGTGTGTGTGAAGCCCGTGTGTGTGTGTGTGAGAAGCCGTGTGTGTGTGTGAGAGAGAAGCCGTGTGTGTGTGTGTGAGAAGCCGTGTGTGTGTGTGTGAGAAGCCGTGTGTGTGTGAGAGAGAAGCCGTGTGTGTGTGTGTGAGAAGCCATGTGTGTGTGAGAGAGAGAAGCCGTGTGTGTGTGTGAGAGAGAAGCCGTGTGTGTGTGTGTGAGAAGCCGTGTGTGTGTGTGTGAGAGAGAAGCCGTGTGTGTGTGAGAGAGAAGCCGTGTGTGTGTGAGACAGAAGCCGTGTGTGTATGAGAGAGAAGCCGTGTGTGTGTGAGAAGCCCATGTGTGTGTGTGTGAGAAGCCCGTGTGTGTGTGTGAGAAGCCGTGTGTGTGTGAGAGAGAAGCCGTGTGTGTGTGTGTGAGAAGCCGTGTGTGTGTGTGAGAGAGAAGCCGTGTGTGTGTGTGAGAGAGAAGCCGTGTGTGTGTGTGTGAGAAGCCGTGTGTGTGTGTGTGAGAGAGAAGCCGTGTGTGTGTGAGAGAGAAGCCGTGTGTGTGTGAGACAGAAGCCGTGTGTGTGTGAGAGAGAAGCCGTGTGTGTGTGAAGCCCGTGTGTGTCTGAAGCCCGTGTGTGTGTGTGAGAAGCCCATGTGTGTGTGTGTGAGAAGCCCGTGTGTGTGTGTGTGAAGCCCATGTGTGTGTGTGAGAAGCCCGTGTGTGTGTGTGAGAAGCCGTGTGTGTGTGAGAGAAGCCGTGTGTGTGTGAAGCCCGTGTGTGTCTGAAGCCCGTGTGTGTGTGTGAGAAGCCGTGTGTGTGTGTGTGTGTGAAGCCTGTGTGTGTGAGAGAAGCCGTGTGTGTGTGAAGCCCGTGTGTGTCTGAAGCCCGTGTGTGTGTGAGAGAGAAGCCGTGTGTGTGTGTGTGAGAAGCCGTGTGTGTGTGTGTGAGAAGCCCGTGTGTGTGTGTGAGAAGCCGTGTGTGTGTGTGTGAGAAGCCCGTGTGTGTGTGTGAGAAGCCGTGTGTGTGTGAGAGAAGCCGTGTGTGTGTGAAGCCCGTGTATGAAGCCCGTGTGTGTGTGTGAGAAGCCGTGTGTGTGTGTGTGTGAAGCCTGTGTGTGTGAGAGAAGCCGTGTGTGTGAAGCCCGTGTGTGTCTGAAGCCCGTGTGTGTGTGAGAAAGAAGCCGTGTGTGTGTGTGTGAGAAGCCGTGTGTGTGTGTGTGAGAAGCCCGTGTGTGTGTGTGAGAAGCCGCGTGTGTGTGTGAGAGAAGCCGTGTGTGTGTGTGAGAGAGAGAAGCCGTGTGTGTGTGTGTGAGAAGCCATGTGTGTGTGTGTGAGAAGCCGTGTGTGTGTGTGTGAGAAGCCCGTGTGTGTGTGTGAGAAGCCGTGTGTGTGTGTGAGAGAAGCCGTGTGTGTGTGAAGCCCGTGTGTGTGTGTGAGAAGCCCATGTGTGTGTGTGTGAGAAGCCCGTGTGTGTGTGTGAGAAGCCGTGTGTGTGTGAAGCCCATGTGTGTGTGTGAGAAGCCCGTGTGTGTGTGTGAGAAGCCGTGTGTGTGTGAGAGAAGCCGTGTGTGTCTGAAGCCCGTGTGTGTCTGAAGCCCGTGTGTGTGTGTGAGAAGCCGTGTGTGTGTGTGTGTGAAGCCTGTGTGTGTGAGAGAAGCCGTGTGTGTGTGAAGCCCGTGTGTGTCTGAAGCCCGTGTGTGTGTGAGAGAGAAGCCGTGTGTGTGTGTGTGAGAAGCCGTGTGTGTGTGTGTGAGAAGCCGTGTGTGTGTGTGTGAGAAGCCCGTGTGTGTGTGTGAGAAGCCGTGTGTGTGTGTGTGAGAAGCCCGTGTGTGTGTGTGAGAAGCCGTGTGTGTGTGAGAGAAGCCGTGTGTGTGTGAAGCCCGTGTATGAAGCCCGTGTGTGTGTGTGAGAAGCCGTGTGTGTGTGTGTGTGAAGCCTGTGTGTGTGAGAGAAGCCGTGTGTGTGAAGCCCGTGTGTGTCTGAAGCCCGTGTGTGTGTGAGAGAGAAGCCGTGTGTGTGTGTGTGAGAAGCCGTGTGTGTGTGTGTGAGAAGCCCGTGTGTGTGTGAGAAGCCGTGTGTGTGTGTGAGAGAAGCCGTGTGTGTGTGTGAGAGAGAGAAGCCGTGTGTGTGTGTGTGAGAAGCCATGTGTGTGTGTGTGAGAAGCCGTGTGTGTGTGTGTGAGAAGCCGTGTGTGTGTGTGTGAGAAGCCCGTGTGTGTGTGTGAGAAGCCGTGTGTGTGTGTGAGAGAGAGAAGCCGTGTGTGTGTGTGTGAGAAGCCATGTGTGTGTGTGTGAGAAGCCGTGTGTGAGAGAGAAGCCGTGTGTGTGTGTGAGAAGCCGTGTGTGTGTGTGAGAAGCCGTGTGTGTGTGTGTGAGAGAGAAGCCGTGTGTGTGTGTGAGAGAAGCCCGTGTGTGTGTGTGAGAGAGAAGCCGTGTGTGTGTGTGTGAGAAGCCCGTGTGTGTGTGTGTGAGAAGCCCGTGTGTGTGTGTGAGAAGCCGTGTGTGTGTGAGAGAGAAGCCGTGTGTGTGTGTGTGAGAGAGAAGCCGTGTGTGTGTGTGTGAGAAGCCGTGTGTGTGTGTGTGAGAAGCCGTGTGTGTGTGTGTGAGAAGCCGTGTGTGTGTGTGAGAAGCCGTGTGTGTGTGAAGCCCGTGTGTGTCTGAAGCCCGTGTGTGTGTGTGAGAAGCCGTGTGTGTGTGTGTGTGAAGCCTGTGTGTGTGAGAGAAGCCGTGTGTGTGTGAACCCTGTGTGTGTCTGAAGCCCGTGTGTGTGTGAGAGAGAAGCCGTGTGTGTGTGTGTGAGAAGCCGTGTGTGTGTGTGTGAGAAGCCCGTGTGTGTGTGTGAGAAGCCGTGTGTGTGTGTGTGAGAGAAGCCGTGTGCGTGTGTGTGAGAGAGAAGCCGTGTGTGTGTGTGTGAGAAGCCGTGTGTGTGTGTGTGAGAAGCCCGTGTGTGTGTGTGAGAAGCCGTGTGTGTGTGTGAGAAGCCCGTGTGTGTGTGTGAAGCCTGTGTGTGTGTGGGTGAGAGAGGAGCCGTGTGTGTGTGTGTGAGAAGCCGTGTGTGTGTGTGAAGCCTATGTGTGTGTGGGTGAGAGAGGAGCCGTGTGTGTGTGTGTGTGTGTGTGTGTGTGAGAGAGAGAGAGAGAGAAGCCATGTGTGTGTGAGAGAGAGAGAGGAGTGTCTGCCAGGTTTTGGGGTCCAGTCTCCTTGTCTGTCCCTCACCCTTTCCTCAAGAGAAGTACTGAGGCAGAGATGTAGCCAGTTGGGTGTTTTTTTGTTGTTTGTTTTCAATTCCACAAACTGGCGTCTGTTTTCCGCTGGTCTAGGA